TTCTCCTTTTACCTTCTGAAAAAATTCATTGGAAACTACAATATAGCTTAGCAGATATTTATTCTTTTTTTTCCTCCTTGTATAATCTAGCCTCTGTTCATAATTTTTAACTTGATGGAATCATTATCAAGTTATTGATGATTGAACAGGAACTGGAACAAGTGCCTCATATGAAACAGATATCACTAGTTAAAGCCTTGTTAAGTGCTCGTGACACATTATTCGAAGAGTTAGAGAGACTGGGCAATGGTATTGACAAAACTGTTGATTTGGCGGAATTCAAATCCAAAAAGAATAATATGACTATACTGCAAGCAAAACTGGGAGCAGTGGATGGTGAAGTTTCAGGACAAGGCAAGCCACAAAATGGTCTTGAGGTCCTTGCTTGATTTTGCCCGGCAGACTATTCTTGATTCTATTTCTTTTCATGTTTATTGATTTTATTTTTTAGATTTTACCTTATAATATCTTTTATTTACAGAAACAAAGTGGCACATTAGAAATTAAGGGTGATAGCTTGCTCCACGACTTATCCAAGGATGATGTATTTAAAATGTTTCATTTATTGGGGGATCAAATTCTATACCTATGGAACATTTTTCTGAAGTTCCACAGGTTAGTATTTTGTTTTCACACTGTTTTATTGCTAACAGATTACAGATTTGTAATTTTATCCTTTTGGGTGGAATGCCTTTTATGTAATTTTACCTTTTGCTAATAACTAACATAAAAGAAGAGTTAATCCATGCATATGTTTGTTACCTTATTGTGTTATTTTAGATGCTGAAGTTGCGTTTTGTGCTAGGGAAAATAAAACAAAGATACTGGAATTTCTTTGTGATGCATGGGCTAAGGATAGAAGAGCTGAATGGTCAATATGGATGGTTTACTCCAAGGTTGAGATGCCTCATCATTATATAAATGGTGGGTTTGATGAGGCTCCCCACCATGTTGTGTATAAAAGAGGTTCAAGTTTTTGGAAACTAACTGATGATGTAATCACTAAGCTTCACTACAACTCTAGTATGTTTGGTGATTAACAACAATAAGATCTTTTCTCCTTGGTTTCTGATGCTTAAACTTTGATCCTGTGCTCACAGCCTGCCCAGCTTGCAGCCATGCGTGCTGATCTTCACAGACGGAGCATTGCACAGATGAAAGTGAGTTTTTGTTCTCATAATGAATGTTTATTCTTTTTACCATCTATCTTAAGTTTTATGGGAAAGAATTGCTTGTTTGCAGATGAATAACCGGTCAATCCAAGACATGTATATATTTGGAGATCCTTTACGAATTCCTATTGTAATTGTAGAACGTGTGATGAATGCACCTCGTCGTACTTTTAGTGACAATTCATACCTAAGGAGTTTAGACATGATAGATACAGCTAGTTTATTTACTGGAGCTCGTTCTGAAGCTGGCAAAAAGCAATCTAGCACAAGCTGCCCACAAAATGGTCGTGATTTAAAGATTGTTGTCTTTGTGCATGGATTTCAGGCAAGTCTTCCTCTGATCTTGAAATTTTTCGATCCAATGCTTGTTCCTTTGGTGCAGGATTCTTTGCTTTCATGCACCAAAAGTTTATAGAATCAGAAGTCAAAACCTTTCTACTTCTAGGCAAGATCATAAACTCATTGGACTAATAAAAAACTGAATACAATAATAGGGGCATCATCTGGATTTACGGCTTGTCAAGAATCAATGGCTTTTGATAGATCCCAAGGTTGAGTTCCTTATGTCAGAGGTAAATGAGGAGAAAACATCTGGAGACTTCAGAGAAATGGGGTTAAGGTTGGCCGAGGAAGTAGTTCCTTTTATTAAGAAGAAAATGGATAAAGCTTCAAAGTCTGGACGCTTGAGAGATATCAAGCTAAGTTTTGTTGGGCATTCTATTGGAAACATCATAATAAGGACAGCTTTGGCAGGTATGTGAGAATACACCTTTAAAGTGTTATTTTCCTTGTAGTAATTTAAATTGCAGTGCTAGATCTGCACATTTGTTTCTGCAGAGAGCATCATGGAGCCGTATTTAAGATACCTATATACATATGTATCTTTATCTGGTCCACACCTGGGATATCTATACAGTTCAAATTCTCTATTCAATTCTGGGCTATGGCTCTTGAAGAAGCTGAAAGGAACACAATGCATTCATCAGCTTACGTTTACAGATGATCCTGACCTTCGTAATACTTTCTTCTACAAACTCTGTAAGGTAACTAAGAAAAATATTTTTTTTCCTAATGTTGTTTGAAACATAAAAGGGTTGTGTCAGGGGGCTGAGGTAGAGGAGTTTCTTACCTTGGCGGGAAAAGAAATCATGTCATGAATCTGCTGATGATCATCCTCTTTATTAAAATTTATTCGTATACCTGTCTGAAATTGTTATTAGCTCTACATGTACCACAGAACCCAAGCTTTGATTGCAGTTCCAATGTTAATATTGTTACATTCAGCCACTCCATTTCAAAGGAAACGGAATTAAAGGGAAATCAAATAAGAATAAAGGAATCAGCTGATTGTCTTTTTATTCTTTTGGCTGAAGTTCTGAAATAGTTTCTTTCTTTCTTTCAGCAGAAAACACTCGAAAATTTCAAGCATATAATCCTCCTGTCTTCACCCCAGGTATTGCCTTCTTGCAGACTACTTTTGATTTTTCTTCTCAACCTTTAAAAGTTGGTTTGCTGAATCGAGTGTCTCCATTCTTCCAAATCTACATCATCTAAGAAGGAAACTAATTTCATCATGATAACATTGATATCTTGTCTCTCAGGATGGTTATGTTCCGTATCATTCAGCCCGAATTGAAACATGCCGAGCAGCATCAACTGACTACTCCAAAAAGGGCAAAGTATTCTTAGAGATGTTAAATGACTGCTTGGATCAGATACGGCGCCCAACCTCTGAGCATCGGGTGTTCATGCGCTGTGATGTCAGCTTTGATACAACTTCCCATGGTAGAAACCTGAATGCATTAATTGGACGGGCAGCTCATATAGAGTTTCTGGAGACAGACATTTTTGCACGGTTCATCATGTGGTCATTCCCAGATCTTTTTCAGTGAGTGGTCTAAAGGCCTTCAATCTCAATCCTGTATTGAATATGATGCCACTGTCTCGTTTCCAATCAACTCCGGCAAAGGGCCAGGGTCTTCAGCTGTGTAATGTGAATAAGAGCCGGATTCTCTGGAAGAGCCGATGCATGGAGACATAGCAGTGTCCATGAATGGCCGGATTCAAGATGTTTCCACCTTCGGAAGTATATGTATATCGATATTGCTGATGTGAATTTTTCCACACGAACCTAGCGAGTCATAAAGTATTTAGAGTAGACAGCATCTAGAAAACTAGCAATGTAATTACTCTTTTGGGAGGAAGAATGGTATAATCAATGCGATGAACAATTTCTTTAAAATCGAGTTCCATTTCCATTTCATGCCCAGAATAATAGCCGGGTGGATGCATGTTGTTCTATCCTTTTCCCCAGATTTCATTGTGAAGCCCTCCTAGATCAAAGTCAAGTTGGATTTTCGGAGTCTGACAAAACATTATGGTAACTTTAAAGGTTCGAATTACTAGTATTATTTTTTATACATTAAATTAATATAAAATTATATTTTTAAAATTACTTGATAAGAGATTAATTTTCACAAGATTAAAAAGTCCATTGAAGACCTTAATGATAATTAAAAATATATATATATAAAAGTTATAGGTAAAATTATTATCACATCTTAAATAATTAATATTATCATCTCCTATCCTTTTTTTCACCCGACTCAAATGTTATGCAACTCAAACTCAATATCTTTTATTTCTAACGAAAAGAGATAATTACTCAGTTACTGAAGTCATTAACTCTTGTTAAGTATTTTTAATTGATTAAAAAAATTTAATTATCAATTATATAAAAAGTTAATGCTTATTAGTTTTGAGTTCTAAAAACAATTGAAATCCCAATTTATATTAAAAACTGAAATATCAATTTTTTAAATATTGATATATAAATTTAGAAATTCATTATATATTTTAATATACAACATTTAATAAGATAATTTTTTTAAATTTTGAATTAAATTTTAATTAAATAAAATGATGTAATTTAATATTAGAATTCCAATTATTTTTAGGAGTGAAGTGCATTTTTTTTATTATATAATATATTAACTTTTCATTTAAAATTCATATTTAAAATATCAAAATATCAAACTAGAATAAAGAGTATTAAGCGCCTGTTTGGTACAGCGATTAAAATTCAGCAGATAGCGGATAACGGGTAATGGATAGCGAATAGTGGTAACGGGTGGCGGTTAACGGATAGCGGATGGTGAATAGCGGAAGTGGATAGAGGACGGTAAATAGCGGATTCCATAAATATAACTGTTTGGTTATAAAATAGTTAACGGCTGTTGTTTAACATTAAATAACTAATAAAAACATGTTTAAAAACAA